ACCTCACCCTGCTACCGCGAAGGGTGGCCCCGAACCGCTGACGCGTCGCCCATTTCTGGCCAGCAACTTTCAGCGTCATTAAGCCGCTGCGCCACCGCGTCCCCCCTAGCATCACATTTGCTTTGATACTAAATTTAAATTTCTTTTTAAGCTGTTTTCATCACCCTCTTAGAAACAGTTTTCAGATCTTTGTTCTGAAGGCTTTTTTTTAATACTCAGGTTTCTCTTCAGATAAATCTTTAGCTTTTTTTTTTTTTTTACTTACAGGCTTATCCTTGATAGTAGGGCTGGAAACACACAAATAAAGCTTTCCATCTTCTTCAAGGCAAGCATCAATCAGGGCTTGAACAGAACTCTCCTCTTGGAAAAGGAGGAATGCATAACCTGGATATCAAAGGAGGAAGAGGAGGGGAAAAGAGAAAGGCTGGAATATAGTTAATGTTTTCCTCATGTTGTCTTCAATGTGAGCAAGATCCAAAGGACAACACACATCTGCCTAAAGTGCTCCCACTTGTGCATAAGGTTCTGCTGTTATCTTCTTATTACTCAAAATCTTTACTCAAAATCTCAGGAAAGTCCCCCTGAGGGCACTGGCCATGCTGAGAAGTGGAATGTGTATAGTCCTGATACATGAGGAGAGACCCCAAGACCCCACTTATTTTAAATTTATGGAAGTCAACCTCAACATGTCATATACGAAGCACAATATGCTAACTCTGCCATGGGCAATCGGCAAAATTTCAACCCCCCTTGGCAAAAGAGAAGTTCAGATTGCTGGGGTGCGCTACCCACCACTTCTCTGCTTGCGGAAATGGAAGAGGGGAAAAGATGCAGCTATTTTAATGAGTTGTAAACAAGTGCTGCATTTGTGCTCTTGTGTATTCTAAAGCTCCTCTTGCAAATCATATCCAAAGCACAGCAATATCTGATTTAAAGAAGGTTTCATTTTTAATGAATTCCCCAAATAATGTTTTGAAAAAAGATGGGTATCAAATTTTCTGAGTTGGTGTTATA